CTTCTGTCCACAATGAGCCCTCAGCCGGACCCACATTCACATTAAAATGGCAAGACTCGGGGCGCATCTCTGAGCCCCCACGCAGAGCTGACGATCCGTGCAACGGTGGTTGAACTTCAAGGTGCATATGCACGTGAACAGGAGGGGTAAGGAGCGGTTTGATTGTCCCCTCAGCTCGGATCCAATCAGGCAATTTACCTCCATCCTGTGCAATCGTCGTTCTTTTTTTTTAAAGCAGGTACCCACTCACTCACCGCTTCACCCCAAACGACCTGGTTGTGAGTTTTGAGGAAAAGATGCGGCTCTTGAAGACAGATACGTTGGAACTTGTCGAGTTTGTCGGTCGCGTGCCGCCTTATGTGATCTTATCGCACACATGGGGCTCAGATGAGGTTTCATTCTTGGACCTGAAAACTGTCTCGAAAGCCGGGCTCAAAAAGAAGGCAGGCTATGCTAAGATTGTTGGCTGTTGCGCAAGGGCAATAGAAGACGGCTATGAGTATGCTTGGGTAGACACGTGCTGGTAAGTCCCTTCACAAGACCTAGCAGATGTGCACTGTGGCACAAGTCTGACCCTCACGCTCGAAGTATCGATAAATCAAGCAGCGCTGAACTATCGGAAGCTATCAACTCCATGTACCGTTGGTACCACGAGGCTGAGATCTGTTACGCGTACATGTCAGACGTGTCTCTGGAAGTGCAGCCGCCATCAGCACCGGCCTCGGTGTCGTCAGGATACGGAGGCAAAAAGGAGGCAAATGAGCACGGCTCACCCCGGCCCCCTCCCTTTCGAACGATTCCATCACTTTTGAGAGACTATGAGACCCTTCCCCGGACTTTTCAAAACAGTCGCTGGTTTGCCCGCGGCTGGACGCTGCAGGAGCTCATTGCGCCGCCCTTGGTGGAGTTCTACGCCCACGACTGGCGCGAGATTGGGACCAAGTTCAGCCTCCGGAAGGACATCAATCGGATTACCGGCATTGGCATCAACGTCTTGGAGGGCGCTGATCCGTCTACTTGCCATGTGGCTGAGCGCATGTCGTGGGCTGCCAACCGGCAGACAACCCGGATTGAAGATGCCGCGTATTGTCTGCTCGGAATCTTCAAGGTTCACATGCCGCTCATCTACGGCGAGGGCCAACGTGCCTTCTTCCGGCTGCAAGAAGAAATCATGAAGACGACAGAAGACTATACCATGCTGGCGTGGGGACTTTCCAAATGTCTCAGCAGCAACTTGCACACCTGGAACATGAAGGGGATGATGCAGCACATTAACCCCGTCGACCAGCGAAGACCATTTGCTGATAGTCCGGATGACTTTCAACTACAAAGCCGAGCCACCTGGACATACTCACGACTTATCCCCGACCTGAGCCAAGCCAAGGCTGCCCAGGAGGGTCCCGAGGATGACACCCCACCTCTCATGACAAGCCGTGGCCTCCGCCTATCTCTACTCCTCAGGCACCCAAAGACACAGTCCAGCGACATCCAGGCCTACATCAACTGCAGAACGTCACGGCCAGGGGCAAGCCAAGACGCCACGCTCTCTCCAGTATGCCTGATCCTGCGTCGGCAAGAAGGCTCCAACATCTACACCGGCTCCGACAACCCCAACAACGCCTTCGTCCTGCTCGACAATGACAGGGAACTCGCTCACTTCACCCGCAAAACAGTCTATCTCTCCACCGCCACCAAAGACACCGTCCTCAGTCAGATCCACAACCACCGCATGAATAGCCTCGACAAGACCCTCTACATGCTCGACAGACCCAAGCCCCCGCGCATGAGCAGCACCAGTAGCACCGACTCCAGCATTCCACCACCGAAATTTTCCTGGAAAATCACCAGCTGCTTCTCCCACGCCGTCGGCGCCGGCAGGGGACACGCTCATTACGAAGTGCCCCGCAAATTCACCCCGGCGACGCTATTCCAACCGTTTGACCTCCCGCCCTCTACGGCCAGGATATTCGCATTTGAGCCCTCTCACGTCGCAAGCGAAGCGTTCGCCATCGTGGTCGGCCAGGGCTGGTGCGACATCGTGCCCATCCACGACCCCGAGTTCAAGGCCGCGTGGGGCGGCGAGAACGGCGTTTTGTTGGTGAGGGACGGGTACTGGAACGAAGGACTCGCGCTGAAGTTCATCTGTTATGTGGCGCAGAAGCCGTGCCAGTTCAGCTACAACAGCGAGGAGAAGGGGGAGGCGGTGGACCGTGTAGAGAGGCGGTTTGGGAACTTCTCAGTGCTGGTATCGCTGAAGAAGGCGAGGAGGGGGGACATTAACTGCGAGAGCGCGATTAAGATCCTTTGGGTTGTCACGATGGACTGATTCATCGAGTTTTGTTTCTTTTGTATGTCAGGTTTAGAAAACCCCCATTACACCCTTGCCGCTACCACTCTCCTTAACTAGTAAGATCAAAGACGAATTTGAGCCAACTCGACGTTGCTCTCTCCTTGTCAAGAGCTCTCAGCCTAGGCACGTGCAGGACACTCCGGCTGTAGCTTCCTCGATACTACTCCATACTTCTGGAGACCTTCGGGAATTCCACCCACATTAATGGGCTGATATGGGCTCCCAGCCCGACAACTCGCGGGACGGCCAACATTCTTCAAACCAGCTTGTTGACCCTCTTGATCTGCATATGGACCGCGGTACATCTCAACATACCCGAATTTGGCGACCCCAAGTTCTTGCTCATCCGCTATCAGACTTGGCGAAAGGTTGGGTGGTCGCTGCTAAGCCTTCTGGCACCCGATTTTGTTGTTTACACTGCGTGGTACCAACTGCTGGAAGCTAAACGAATCCGAGATCGGTATAATGAGGTACGTCTAAATAGTCTTGATTTTGTGCGAAGTGCGAAGAATTAGGCCATGAATTTCTTCCATCCTAACCGTCATGACTTTAAGCGCCAACGTGACCCGCGCAAACATTGAACAATGGTCCACGGCTTTTTTGCCGTGATGGGTGGTTTCTCGTTCCAAACCCCTATTCTGCGCGGAAACGAGGTTGGGATGCCGCATCCCAGAATGGCCTTGGACTCTTCCGTCCTTGAACTACTTTTTCAGGACATTGGAAACTGGATCTCTCAACAAGTATATATTCCACATCCAGATACGAGAATACCTCTTCGAGGCCTTAGCTAACGAAATTAGACCCCCTACGCCCGGAAAAAGATATTACAAGGAACCCGCGGCAATAAACTACAGCTGGGATTCAGAAACCTTTTTCAACATATCCAGAGGCGAAATACTTGACAAAAGCAAATCAAACGGGCTGGCGAAGGCGCTGGTGTGCGTTCAAGCAACATGGTTCCGTGCGCAATGCATCACAAGAATCTGCCAAGCCCTGCCCATCACACTGCTTGAGCTGAGCAGTTTTGGCCATTCTGTTTGTGCACTTGTCATCTACGTCCTCTGGTGGTACAAGCCAACGGGCATAGAACTGCCGGCTATCCGGCATCTCCAGACGGTCGAGGAAAAAGCGCTCTGGGCTGTTCTGAACGAGGGCAAAACGATTCGAGAGGTACTGCCACCAAAGGGCGGTGCTGTTGTGACCAACATCAAAGAATACTTTCTTAACGCGCGGCCTCGAAAACACTTTCCCTCAAAATACCGCGTCCAAGTCAAATTCAACACAAATCTCCCGAGATTTTCAAGATTCGACTCTGAGTAGGAACCCACTGCCATCACTTGACTTTCTCTATCTAATGACCATGATCCAGATCATTAAATACCAAGGACCTTTTCAAGCAATATCCGGGCTTTGCAAAATTTGGGGACGACTGCGAAAACAGATATCCAGGAGTTGGGACAAGCATAATATTCATGCCACTTAACATTAGACTTGGCTTAATCTGGTCGCCGTTCTCTAGCACCCACACTCCCACGGCACAAGGACAAAGTCTTCAATACTCATTTCTGAAACAGCACAAGTCCCAAAAAGAGCAAGATAATTACTTTTCAGAGTACCACAGTAATGATTACTTAACCTCTCAGTTCCAGCTCTGTCGAAGAATAATCAATTGGCCAAAGCTTGACGCCTCTGCCCTCAGCACGCTGCTCGCCTTGTCACTACCAAGCTTATACGGGGGCCTTCACTGCCTGGCAAGGAACGCACCCTTCCCGACTGCCAAAGAACAGCTCTTGTGACGCATCTCAACCGTCATCATCCTGGCAGGAGGCTTTCTCGCACCCGCATGTTTCATTTTGAACGATTCCGTCTATTATGAAGATGCACTTCTTATTTCCTGGCGGGCTTTCGACCCGTGTTCGCAGGAAGGCCAATTGCCGAAGAGGGGGCACCTCGGAAAGCCGAAGCTCATGCAAAGGTGGCATAAATACGTCTTCAATATTGCGTTGATGCTTGCGAAAATCTCGGGCCGCGAAGCAAAAGTGCAGGCCCTTTTGAACGACAAGGCGAACGGGTATTGGACCTTTTCCAGGGTTTGCAAGGTGACCACGGGTGTTTTCCTTAGGCGTTTTTTTGGCCGCCAGGACGTATCTCATTGTTGAATGCTTTCTTCAGCTGGCTCATTTACCCCTAGGTCCTGTATTTACACAAGCTTCGTGGGTTGTTTACTTCCCCCACCTTGGTTAATGGGCGAGATTCTCATGATTTCATTTTTTAGAACAGAAGTGCAAACATAGATTGACGAATCGACTCATTCAAACATACGGATCTACTTCTCTTTTCACAACTTACAAGTTCACGCCACCGAGCCTGCTCGGGAAGTAAGTCCCTAAGCAGAGAAACAGACGTTTCTTTAACAAGTACACCAACTTTCCTGCTCGTAATGGAAATTTTGTGACCTGAGATGAACCCACTCGTTATCAGACTAAGCTCTCCCCTCCTCCATTTACGCCCATACACAGACTCACAGAATTCACAAGTCAGTCAGCCAGTGGAGACAGTAATGGAAATCTCATCATACCGAGATCCACGTTGTCTCCATAAACCCTCCATTCCCAGGCCCCATCTCAATAACAAAGCATCCAGCAACCTAGGGCGAATGGTCTAGTGGTATGATTTCTGTTTCGCATTCCTTCTCCGCGAGAGAACTGCCCTACAGAAGGTCCCACGTTCAATCCACGGTTCGTCCATCCCCAGCTTGGTTCTCTCTGAAACTCTACAGCAGCGTGTCAAACACCTGCCAAGAAACTTGTTTATCTTCCGTAGCATAGAGGTCAGTATATGAGCTTGTCATCTTTGTTCAAAAGGATATTTTCGCTCGGGACCTGGGTTCAATTCCGTGCGGGAGAGAGAATAACGTGCTGTCATCTTTTTGCTAGTGGAGGCTTTCTGGATAGGTATATAAGTGAGCTGAGCTCTCGACCGAAATGAACGCTCGGCTTTTGTATTGACTTGAACAAGTTGTTTACTTGAGCCTGAAAGCTGTTTCATGTGACTTCTGTAGATTTCAAGATTTGTCAAGTAGGTAGTACTTCTGCGCAGCTCAATTTGAGTTCAGGGGTGTTTATTTACTTTCACTCCTAGGCGCTAAGTCCTTTTCTTAGTCTGACACGGGGGAATCAAGGATGAAGCTGGGGTCACTTCTGCGGAATGCTAGGATGCTGATCAACGACTGCCCACTTCGTCTTATCTTACTTCAATTGCGAGTGTTTTCGGGGCGGGTAGTGAAAAGGAGCTGGGATTGAGATATATCTAGTGTCGATTTATTTCATTAAATCTTGTACAAAATAATTTGTAACATCAAAGGCGGGCCGTTCCTTATCTTGTACGACTCAAACTGGATCATAAGACAGTACCAAAGACAAAAGGACTTCAAATCACACTCACTGCATCCACATCAAGTACAAAGAGGTGGGGAAGAGTTTGAGTTGACTGCATGTATAACTCTGAGTCATTTGGCATATACAACTTAAGAGCGAGGATTCAATTTTCCGGAGTATTCCACCTCCATCCACTCCAACTCCTATTCCAACCCTCGGTATATACAAGAATAAAAACCCTCCTAACAAAGAAAAACCGACACGCTATGCTATGCACGCACGCACGCCATGCTCGCTAGCTCTCTTGGTTCGTCACGAAAATAAAATACAAAAAAGGAAACCCAAACCCAAACCATGCGCTATCAAAACGCCTTCCATGTGTCGAAATAAAAGAGAAAAAGATTCGTATCACACATAAGCCGCCCGCCTCATATTACTTCGCTGAGGTATATCCATCGCAGCAGCGCTCGTCCATCCAAAACTCGCAGATTCACGCCCAGTTATTCAATCGGCAGGATGGTATCATCACCCTCCCTAAGGGAATCTTTTTCTGCCTGCCTCAGCTCCTTTTCCCTCTTCTCCTTTCCCTCCACGTCTTGTGCCTCTCTCTCTCTGTAAATATCTTGCTTGCGCTCATCCGCAGCGCGAAGAGCAGCGACATAGGTTACATACTTGGTCGTCTCATTGAGAAGATAGTTGCTCTTCGTTTGCCAGTTCTTCATCGCCTTGACTGCGTTGGATGTACGCGGCGAGAAAGACACCAGCATGGGGCTGCGAAGTGCGTTGTGTTGCTGGAGGTCCGCTTCGAGAGTCTTGGCATAGTTGGCCAGAGTCTCGAGCTGGACTCGCTCCGAAGCGGTACTGGCGCGCATGCTCTGGGCCGGAGGCGTCCACTCGGCGATACGAACCATGTCGCCGGGAAGCCTGCCGTGGCGGGGAAGAGATGACGAGCCGATGCCGCCGAGCACGCCGCTGCTGCCGCTGCCGGGGCGGGCAAAGTCAAAGCTCGAGCTGCGCATACTGCTGCGGCTCTGCATCGAGGATCGGCCCATCGCCGCGGTGATGCCGGCTGTGGCCCCGCTGCCTGGACGCGAGTGGCCCTTATGGCTGCTCACGCTAGTACCGGGCCGGCCGGGGAGGTTCCCATTGCTCTCGTTACTGTCGTTGATTGCCGTGATCAGCGCGTTGTTGATGATGGCGTCGCTCCATCCAAACTCGAGATTCGTAACACCACCCACCAAAGGATGCATGCTAAGCCTTGCGCTCCAATAGTTGGCAGTGATGATAAACTCGTTGCTGATCTCCGAGGTGCCGACCTGGAAGAAATAGACTGCACCGGAATGCAGCGTCAAGCCCCAAACATGGGGTCGGGATCGTGACATGGCTGAGGGCGGCAGGTTGTATGCGAGAGCCTGCTGGAGGGAAAACGTGCCCAGGTTGGTGGCATTCTCCTGCCAGTTGCCACCGCCCACTACAGCACCCTTCGGCAGGGCAGCGTTGCTTCGATGGCGATTCTTGTGCCGCAAGGACTTGTTGGGCGAGAAAGAGAACAGACTGAGCTGTCCTTTCTGGACAACAGCAAACACCTCGGTCCAAGACTTCTCGCTCTTCGCTTTCTTGCTGGTATCGTCCATATGCCGATGGTATGACACGATGCCTTCTTTGATCCACGGCGGACCAGCCAGTTCTAGAGATTCGTCTTCCAACAGTTGTGCGCTCTTAAGGTCGTCGCCTGCGATGGACGGTGTATCGTCGTTTGCAATGTCTTCCCTAATGATCGCTTGACTGAGAGCGCTGGCAAATCCAATGGACTGCTGGTGTTCTGGGCGAGGGTACGACGAGCCGAATGAGTCCATAGACATGGATGTGTGGGTGCGGCCGAGTGAGGCCCTGCTCCAGGTAGCCGAAGACTCGGTCGGGCTCCACAAGGAGTTGTTGTCTTCGAAGCTGGTACGGCTCGACGAGAAACCATTGCCAAAGCCTCTCGGCCGCGACCGGCTCTTTGAGTTCCAACGCGACGAATTTGCCTTGGCCGACTCGGGGATTCGACCTCGAGTGGACGCGACGCCTTCCGATGGTGCTTTACTCAGCACACTGGGGCTCCGCTTGAGCATGCCCATGACAGTAAGCCCGCCGGGGTTTGGCACAGGTGTTGCCTCAGATCCGAAGAGTGGCAAACGATCATCACGGATCGATGCGTAAATATTCTTCAACACGGTTTCCACCTGGGACTCCCAGCCACGAAGTGAGCCTTCAAACGGTGCCTTGACAAGTGGGCCACACCCTTCGTCATGAGCGGGATGGTCAGACGCAAATCCGATTGCAGAGGTTGGTCGTGGCGGCGGCTTAAAGGAGGCGCGGAGACTGTTGAATCGGTCGTGTTCTCCCGACGTGCGGGTATCACCGTCGACGTTTAATCCCTTACCTGGAAGGATACTTGGCCGGTCAAATACGCCAGGAGACACGTCCTGAAGAACATGCCTGATCGTAGTCATGGTGTTCTTGATGAACTGGCTTCGCGTCATCTTGTGCTCGATATCCGCCATATGGAGATCGGTGTTCAACAGGATGATGGAGTAGCAGATGGTGTGAATGATGTCTTGAGCGAAAGTTAGCATGTGGGCGACATGTTGTGCTTGCGAATCCGTCTTACCCGAGGCCTTGAAACCATGGTTGGGGTTGCAATCACACCACCTCCTCGTAAAGGCGACCAGAATGCGATCAACTTGCTGGGTTTCGGCTCGCAGCAGTAGACGTTGGCAGACTTGGCGAAGACTCGCCACGATACTCGTGTCTTCAAAGTCAAACAGATCCAGGAAAGCACGCAGCGTCCGCTGGCGTACGATACCCTCCTCGCCCATCCACGCTGCAGCCTTTTCCTTTCCAATGAAGTCTTCGTTCCCGTCGAACATCTTCTGAGCCTTCTGGCGGTCATCTTCAGTGGGATCGCCCACCACAAAATCAGGCTCGTCAATGGACTTGCTGGATTGGTTGGCAGACTCAGTGGTGCCCATCCCGCTCGGGCTTGGCTCGGCGCTGTCAATCCTCAAGCTGGGTAGGCTGGGGGCATATCTAATCGTCTCGGTCGATCCTCCGTGGTTTTCATCGGTCAGGATACCTTCGATCGGTAAGCCGAGGTTGTTAGAGTTCCTATGGTCGGCATGTTTGATACCCCTGCCAAAGTTAGGAACACTCTTTGCCTTGAACACAGTTGGCGATGGTGATCTTGTCCGTTTCTGATCCAGCCCAGGCATGAGGCCTCTATCTTTGGCTTCGATAGCCTGTTGCTGTTTTCGGACCCGCTGCGGGCTGTCCTCGCTGTCGCTGTTGTCTTGAAGGAACGACTTCGGCGGAGATTGATTCACAGGTGGCGACGCGTCGAGCCTTGGCATGTTGATTTCGGCTGGGTCTATCTCCACAGAGCGAATGACGGCTCTGGGGCTTGGTTCATAACCAGGCGAGAAGCCTCTCATGTTTCGGGGTCGGTCGTCGTCGGTTGCTTCAGGGTCGGGCAGCTGGGACCGGTTGCTTTTGTCAGTTGTAGGTCCGGGAGGGCTCGGCAGGGGGAAGTCTTCGATAGAAGGCATCGGGTCGTCGGTGGTAGGGGTCGACGCCTCTGCGCCGCCCGGACTCGCGAGGAAGGGATCCATGGCGCGCCGGAGGCTGGTGATAGGACTTGGCTCTGGCTTCGCCGCGAGTGCTGCTACTCTCTCGATGGGCAGTTTGCCGGGGGGCAACGCTGGCAGAGACGGGAGCGGTGGCGGGTCGGGTTCTGTGATGGATGGTTTTCTTCTCCTAAAGAATGACGAGGCCTTTTTCTGTAGGGTGTGGATGGGAGGTGTATGGGTGGCAGAGTAGTGCGAGTCGCGCGACGGCGGGGCCGAAGGTTGTCTGGACTGGGACGTGAGAGTCTGCGACCTGGTCCCAGGCGTCTCAATAGACATGGCTGATGCCTGCGCTGGTGGTGTTGCGACAACTGGACTTGGTTTAGAAGAACCAAACATCCTTCGAAAGAACCCCGGCTTCTCTTTCGTTTGCTGGCTGCCAGAAGCCGGCGTCCCAGCATCTTTCGTCTTCTCATAGCCGACGTGTGGGGCGGGAGCTGACTCGAGGTCAAGCGTAGGCATCGGGGGAGCATCGCGGGCGGTAAGAAACTTCGAATCAGCCTTGCGGCCAACCGTGGCACTCCTGGACGATCTAGTACTTCTGCGCCGCTCCATCGCCGGCATCTTGGGTTCGGTCCTCAGCTCCTGGGGCAGGAGAACAGGCATTGATGGCACGGTTGCTAGCTTTCGTGGAGCCGTGGGAACGTTGGGAGTCGGGGCGGCGTCGTAGTTCGCGTCGTTGAAGAATGTGTTGGAGAACTCGAACTGCCACGGGGATTGGACCTGCGGTTGCGCTGTTTGCGAATGGGGGATGGGGTTCGGTCGTGGCTGCCCAGCCTCGAAGCTGGGCGATCTTCCGCCGAAGTCTCGAGCCCAGCGCTGGCTGCTCAGAACCTGCACATAGCCGGCATCGATGCTATTCGTG